CCTCTAGTATTAGTATAAATGATAAGTACTTGTGGAATAAGGTAAATGATAAACTGATGGAAATTTAGATCTACACAAAGAAAAACACTGAAAATGGTAAATATGTAGTAAATATATAATAATGTTCTGATTTTTTTTAATTCCTGAAAATATTTGGCTGCTTAAAGAAAAAATAGCATTGTTATTACTGTGTACATATGTACAAGTAAAATGTATGGCAATAAGATCACAAAGGCCATACATGTGAGACAACATGCTTTTCATTATTGTTGAAAGTATTACATATGCCCCCCTTTTCCCCATTGATACTCTTCACCCTGCATCCCTCCTCAGTCCTCCACCACACTATTGTCTGTGTCCATAGGTTATGCATATATTTAGGGAGAAAGGAAGGGAGAGGGAGAGAAACATGGATCGGCTGCCTCCTGCACACCTTCTTCCTGGGTCTGAGACTGCAACTACCAGGAATCGAACCTGCGACCTCTTGGTGCACAATAGCCAACCAACTGAGCCACACTGGCCAACGCAAGACATCATTATTTTAATACACAGTAATGGAAATTTAGATATTACCAATTTATAGAATATTTGCTCTGAAGACCTCTATGTTCCACCCCTATCCTAGTCCTCTTTCAGCCATGTACCCTAACCTTTAAATTCTAAATTCACTACAGGTAATAGACGGTTATAGTCTGCTTATATTTCTCTTGTCATGATTGAGTAATCAAACCCAACAGAAGCAGCATTTTTAGATTTCAGCTGTTGGTTCCACTTATACATTTCACAATTAGTAGAGGCAGTTTTAGTAGACTTGACTCAGTCTATTGTTTTTTTAAATTAGAATTTGATCTCTTACCTTAGGGTTTTTCTAACCATTTTGCCCAAAATAATGTTTTTCTTTAATATTTCATTATTATAATTTTAGTTTATATCTAAATCAGAGGTCTGGTGCACAAATTCATGCATGGGTGGGGGCTGGCTGCATGCCCCAATCAGGGCCCATCAGGCCAGGCTGGCTAGGAAGAAGGGACATGGGAGATTGGTTGACCAGCCCTGCTTCTGATCGGGGTGGAAGGGGTCAATAAGGTGGCTGGGCAGAGGGGCTGCGAGCAGTAGGCTGGCCAGTCCTGTCCCCTGGTCAAATGCCCAGTTGAACTGCTGGTGGAACTCCCAGTCAAGGGAACAATTTGCGTATTAGCCTTTTATTATATAGTGTAATTTAGAAAGGTTCCTAAGGTACCTAACAAATTTGTTCATATTGACTTTTATCTTTATTAAAATGGTTAAGGAAGTCAGACAGTTTCAGAGTGAACTTAATCTGTTGTCTTACTGCAGTATATTTTATAGTGAATATCCTGACTTCAGGATTGTACTCTTATAAATTTGATTAAGATCAATATATAAGAACTTCACTGAAATATGTAGAATTTACAATAGGGGATTTTATGTAAATAAAAAGTAAATATGTATTCTAGATCTTTGAGTTTGAGCATTAAAATGCACCAGTGATAATAATTAGATAGTTGAGAAACTGTTGTTTTCCAAAGTGCTAGCATATTCTAAAACTATATTTAGAAAACAGAAAAAAAAAGTAAATACATGTATTGGATTTCTGCAAAGAAATATCAATAATATACAATATTTTAATCATTCTCAAAAGTACATCTATCATTGTCATTTTCTATTTATGAAATTTTACAGTAAAATAATAACTTCCACCTTTATAAATAAAATTTAAAGTACATAAAAGAGAAAAATAGTTTTTCATAAAGAGTATTCTAGCAAAAGGATTACAAGTTTGGTAACTTGAGATGCTATTCTGGGACCTATGCTACTAGTTCAAATGTGCAAGCTCCAACTTAACAAATGTTTAAAATATTTGAGTTTTTAAAACAGAGCCAAAATAAACTCCATCTTTTCTAGAGATGACATATTTAGCTAAGCATGAGCAATACAAATCTTTCAACCATCCCATGTATTTGTTTAAAAACCTCAGAAACCATGTGCATTTCTAATAAAACATGGACAAAATACTGAAATCACTGGAGCCTAGCAGTTGTCTTGCAAATCAATATTTATAAAAGGCAAACGTACTTTTCTGTATGTATCTGTGTGTATATACCGGTGTATATAGATGTATACATGTGGTATATATCCATGTATAAAGATACATCTTGCCCTCACTGGTTTGGCTCAGTGGATAGAGCGTCAGCCTGCGGACTCAAGGGTCCCAGGTTCAGTTCCGGTAAAGGGCATGTACCTTGGTTGTGGGTGTGTCCCCAGTGGGGGGTGTGCAGGAGGAGGCTGATCGATGTTTCTCTCAACAATGTTTCTAACTTTCTGTCCCTCTCCCTTCCTCTCTGTGCAATAGAATATATTAAAAAAAATAAAAGATGCATCTTATATCTATAGATATAAGTAGATAGAGACCGGTTTGGCTCAATGGATAGAGCGTCGGCTTGGGGACTGAAGAGTCCCGGGTTCGATTCTGGTCAAGGGCATGTACCTTGGTTGCGGGCATATCCCCAGTGGGGGGTGTGCAAGAGGCAGCTGATCGATGACTCTCTCTCATCGATGTTTCTAACTATCTCTCTCCCTTCCTCTCTGTACAAAATCAATAAAATATATTTAAAAAATAATAATAATAAAAAAAATAAAAATAAAAAAGATATAAGTAGATAGTTTAATCTATAATAACAAAAGCATGATATGCTAAATAGACCAGATATCATTCCAGACATCCTTTCGGACAAAGCTGGGCGGAAGGGAAGCCCAGGTCCCTGGTGCCAGAGGAAAGCTGGTGCTGGCAGCCAGGGGAAGGAAGGCCTACTCTTGCATGAATTTCATACATTGGGCCTCCATTTTTTTTATTTAGATATATTTTATTGATTTATTACAGAGAGGAAGAGAGAGGAATAGAGAGTTAGAAACATCGATGAGAGAGAGTCATTGATCAGTTGCCTCTTGCACACTCCCTACTGGGGATGTGCCTGCAACCAAGGTACATACCCTTGACTGGATTGAACCCGGGACCTTTCAGTCCACAGGCTGATGCTCTATCCACTGAGCCAAACCGGTTTTGGCTGCATTGGACCTCTAGCTGTCAAAATAGTTATCAACAGTATAATATTGTCTTATGAAAAATTTGTGTTCCATACAAAACGTATATGAGTAGAGAACATGTGTAAACTATTTTATCATTATAATATGACTCAATAATCATGAACATTTTAACAAAATAGGAACTTTAAAAATAATTATGATCTTTAAAAATACTCCACATAAAAATGCTTTTCTATGCAACTAAATCTAATATAAAAACAACAAATTTTTTAAAAATATATATTTTATTGATTTTGTACAGAGAGAAAGGGAGAGAGATAGAGAGTTAGAAACATTGATGAGAGAGAGTCATTGATCAGCTGCCTCTTGCACACCCCCTACTGGGGATATGCCCGCAACCAAGGTACATGCCCTTGACCGGAATCAAACCTGGGACCCTTCAGTTCCCAAGCCGACGCTCTATCCATTGAGCCAAACCGGTTTCAGCAAAAACAACAAGTTTTTAATATTCCAACCTGTTTTTGCATGAAAGAGAACCCCTTTAAAACAACCTAATCCTGTCAGTAAGTGATCTAATAAGAAGATTCTTCAGTTTTTTTACATAAGGAATTTTCTTATTGCGAAAGGACAATATTTTATTAGGTAAAATATTTTAAATAATTCTAACATATGGCTTATTTATAAAAGTAGAATTAAATTTTCTCATGTTAAAATTGGCTCCGCTATAACTGCTTTTACCTTGCTTATAACCAATAACTTTGCTAACAATTTGCCTATAACTAGTTTTATCTTTGCCAGTTGCTCGGGTAGGTAGAGTAAGCCTTGCTTGAAGTTTAGAATTCCTTTTGATAAAACTACAATGTCAGGTTTTAGCATAGGCCAAATTAAAATAGCAAAAAGCAACTCAAGGTTATTTTTCATTAATAATGAATTGTCACAATATTCCTAATTAGTGAAGGCTAAGACAAAGCAAGCTGCTACTATAACCCTATGAGAGGCAGCAATGCTATGATGCTATCTATATACAAGTGTAGTTCAATTCACATTTTTGTTCTTCATTGAAAGAAATGCATTCAGCCCCAGCCAGTTTGCCTCAGTGGATAGGGTACCAGCCCAAGGACTGAAGGGTCTTGGGTTTGATTGAGCCTTGGTTGAAGGCTCAATCTCCAGTGTGTTTGGGAGGCAACCATTCCATATGTCTCTCTCACATTGATGTTTATCTCTCCCTGTCTCCATACCAACACCTTCCCTCCTCCCCGCCCCAACACCACCACCATTCCATTCTCTCTAAAAGTCAGTAGAAAAATATTCTCGTGTGAATTAACACACACACACACACACACACAAAATGTGTACAATCTTGATTTTACAGAATTCATACATAAGTATATAAAAGAAATGGCACAATAACAGAGGTTGTAAGATTTTAAATCTTTTTTTTTTTAATTTTGAAGGGTTTGGTGACCTATGGTTTGCATGGAGTTTTATTTATAAGACCTCACTTGTAAACGCTAGCTAGTCCTTGGCAAGTTCCTAGCCTCTCTGGGACTGTTTCATCATCTGGAAAATGTATGTAATAATAATAACAATAATACTAAAATTAGCAGCAGCAGCATTATTATGTGGCTCATACATATAATTTATTATTATTATTATTATTTGGTTGAAAGAATAAAAATATAAATGCAAAAAAAAAATCAAGTGCTATGCATGTATTATCTTCCCTGACTTTCTCCTGAACTACTTATTTTTCCAAGAAATGATTTATCATGTTATAGTAGGGATTAGACTTGATGTTTAAAGCAAACTCAAAGAAACATCTCAGGATATCTTCAAATACTTCTGAAATTGCTTTACTATTGAATATGTAGAGAACTGATCTTCAGTGAACAAGGTCATTCCTTCATAAAAAAAAAAATAGACAATTTGAATCATTGTTGGTGAATATTTTTTAAGTGCAAGAAATCAATTAATGATAATATTTGACTATAATACTTGGCATGCGTAATTTTGTAGACAATCATTTTCAAGGGGATGTGTGATATTTTGGGGTGATTACCTACATTGAATAATAGTAGATGTTTGAATTGTTTTATAAATTTAAATTTATAATATCAAATTCTGTAAAAGCTCTGAATATTGATTACAGAAATTGCTTGTTCTAATCTGGTCATTTAGGTATAGAAAAATGTTTGAAAATTCGAAAATGTCTTTTTGCTACACTTTGTGTTTTAGAAAACCCCAAGCAAAATAATTCAAGGAAGACTTGTCTATTCTTTAGGACGAAATTGAAAATTCAAGTTTCTTTGTGACTCATCTGAAGAGGATTCAGGAATGGACAATTTTGTGACAAAGATTTTTTCTCTTTACTTACCTCCATGACTTGTTCCTTCACACATTAAGCTATTATATGTTTTGATGAGGGCCTCGGGACAAGACTCTATGCATGGCTCAATTATTTAAAATTTCTCTATTTTTATAGTCCCTGGCCTATGAGAGGCTGTAATTCTCTTTAGAACTATAGAGTAGATCCACATAGATTAATTTTAGCCCCTGTTGTTCTTTATTTTCTAACTCTTATAGTATAAAAATAATTAAAAACAGACAATGTGAGAAAATTCTAAATTTAAATTCAATGACATGATTCTAACTCTCAGTTAACTTAATGGATAAAATAAGGAAGAAACTGATGTTAGCATTATTGTCCTTTCATTACTCTGTGATAAAGTACCTTAGATTTTCCCGCAGAGTGAAAAAAAGAATTCAAACAGATAATCTCAAATGGTGTATGAAGGAATGGTGCATAAATTACTCTGACTTGTCTTGAAAACAGGCAACAATAGATAATTTACCTCAATCTTAAAGATGAATTAAAGAAGTGTATGAATTTAGAAAAAGTTTCACTTGCCTAAAAAATTTTCATGAATTTATTCTCTACTTGTCTTTTTCACCCAATTCTAGACACAGTAATTTTCTATTGGCCTCTCATCTATTCAATCTAAAAAAGAACATGTTTTTCCTACAGCCATATCTACAAATCTTAGTTTTATTAATAATTTCATATGGTTAGAAATGACTATGCTATAACTATTTTATCTCTTAAATGAAAAATGGTATGTAACCAGAACCAAATTGTAGGTTTTCTCTTTTCCAAGACCATACGTTTTTACATTATAATTTTATTGTAAGTTACATATCGAATTCTCTTCCTCCACAACAAGAATTCAAATGGTAATCTAAGATCATCTAAAAGCACGTGCAACGCGTTGGATGGCCCCCTGCATGCGGCAGACAGATTTTCAAGCCCAAGTGTCCCCGTCCATTAGATAAACTTGGCAATTTCCACAGCTTAAATAAAGTTTAGGTAATTTTTCATCACAGCGTTGAAAATATTGAATTTATAAGTACACAGTAACAATATCCTCTTTTCATTGTACTCTATATTGTTTTTATTGAAACAAAAATCATGATAATTTTAATGTACCAAACTCTTATTCAAAGGAATTATACATTTAATTCTTAGTATCCATACTTAATATTCTTGAACACTAACAAAGATTACATGCATGCATTGAAGGAAGACTATTAACTCTTATGTCTGAGCTTCTCTCATCAGGTAAGAAATAAACTCTATATTAAAAAAAAAAAAAGCGTGTATTTGAAGTTTTGACCTAACACAGTGGATTAAGGTTTAGACAATATTTACTTTGCTGCATTTTGATTCAGAAGGGGCCATATGTGAAGATATAATCCTGACCAACTTCACAATGTTTCTGTAATGGTCTCCCAGTAAAAAAGGGTTATGTTAAATACAGTGAGGCAGAAAATAGTTACCAAATAAACTACAACTTTATAGCTATCCATTGGTAAAAGTCCGCAGTTAATACATTCGGATAAATAACTCAAGTCAGCAACAAAGTGGTTAAACATTTGTGATTTGATTTTATCTCAGCTTGGAATGTGGTTGGAGTGTCCCACTTCTAACAACTGTTTGCTAAGTTAAGGCTTCAGTGTTTACACAGCGTTGAATGAATCAGCCTGGTCACCAGATGTGACTGCTTCCCAGACCGCCGCTCTCAGTCAGATCACTGTCCTCACTGGCCCTGCTCCCACCTTCTTCCTCAGGACGTCCACCAGCCGCTCCAGCCTGTTGGGAGCAAGGGGCGGAAAGGGAAACATGAATGTAGAAAGTACAGCTATTGTCAGGAATGTTGTGGCCGAAAAAGGACAAGTCTGCCTATGACCAAGCAATCCTGGTGGTCATATTGAGAAATAAAGCATTACTGTAAGCAAGAGACACTGGTGCTATGTGCCAAGTATCTGAGTTAAAAACAAACAAACAAACAAACAAACAAATAAGAAAAACAGCAACAACACAAACTTTAACCCAGACCTTCAGATTATGTGAGCATTCGAGGCTACATGAAAAATATAAGGTACTCGTTTCAATACATTTAACTATTTGTGTTAAGGTTGTGAATCAATGATTGTTATGTAATGACAGCAGGACCCATTTAATGGAGAGCAGTTTCAAACTGATTTACCTTATTTCAATACAGAAATGTTAGCAATCATACACCTGTTACGTAGCGAAATAAGTGACACATGGATATACTGTACAATTCTTACGTACAATTCTTAATTTATTCTCCTCATTAAATTTCTTTTTCATAGAGTTAGCTAACACAGCCAGGATTTAAGGGGCTAGTGGGAAAAACCTCATGTCTCAGTGGCATGAAAATAATTTAAATATATTCAAATGATTTGATGGTGATAAAAACAGACTTTCCGCACTACATTTGAAAACTTTCTATTCCTGAGAAGTATAAATAGGTTAGAAATGACTAAATATGCTTTTTAGTCCATGTTAGGAGATTTTCAGTTGATTAAAAAAACTTACCCATTATATGGAAAATAGAGGGAAAAGTTCAGAAGCCCATTCTGTGGTGTGTGTTTAGGCCACTCTAGGGGAGAGAGACCACATTCCTGTGGGTCAGTGAGAGTTTTGCTTGACAAAAGATGATGGAATCCGACCATTAATTGTTTTTTTTTCCCTTTTACTTTCTTTACTGAAAGTATAAAACATGAACTAAAAACTTGCTTGTTGTTATATACAGAGAAGTCTTCATTAAAAGCGAAAATCATGCCCATACGTATATATATCATCTTCCTTTCTCAGAGGCTGCTGAGCAACGTAGTCTAATCTGCTCCAGCTTGTCTCATTTATATGGGAGCAGCAGCCTCATTTATATGGGCCCATGCATGAGGGTTCTTTGCAAATAAACCCAGTACAGAGCTAGACACTAAAGGCATGAGAGCATTCTTAGTGTCCTATACACTGGTTCAGAGACTCGTCTGCTGCATCTAACACTGAAAACTAGCTCAAGATTTTTGGATGATTCTGCATATATCGAGTCCTGTTCGAAAACACAAATATGGAATGAAAGAATGTGATGCATCAAAAATCTTTGCTTTGAGAGATGGAGTAATGATCTTAGAGTGAATATGCAAATTTGTCCTACATTTTGTTACTACAAATTTCTCAAATATAAGCTATACATAAGTTTTATACATTCACAGCCTATTGGTGCAAATATTTGAACTAGAAGATTCACTGGACAACTCACTCTACTCACAGATTCACAGACCAGTTTGTGTAAGTTGGACTATTGACCAAAACCAATGCTATCCTATATACTCCGGATATTATGGTTCATAGAATTACATAAATCCTTTAATACAGACAAAGTTTCACTCAGTTGGGTTGTGGAGGAGGGGGAAATGTCAGTATGGAATTTGAAATGCATTGTTAAGAGATGATAGAACTTGAATTAACTGTTGACAAATAGCTGCCAGTAAGAATCTTGAGAAGACATTAAGAGCATATCTCCGCGTATATTGTAAAAAGTCAGGAAATCATTACTTCCAAGTTGGTTAAATATGTTCCTCCTCCACAAAATTATCTGCAATATTAAAAAACTTCTTTGTAATATAAAAGTAAGCTCTATTCTGCATAGTTATTATTATCACTACAAATTCTGAATTGGTGGAATCACAAATGACTGAGATGAATCTGTGTGCAGTTCTTTTGGCTTCTCCTTCACAGACAGGTCTCTTACTTTTGTTTCCTTTTTATACATTAGGACTTTTCCTATTTCAAACTGGTACAAATTGCTAAGGGAAGAGGATAGGAGGAAATACTTAAATATCATGTTTTGCAATGTCTTTACTATATTTCAACAATTACTAGATCAACCACATTCTCAGTTTATCCAGGTTGAATGATTTATGAAAATTTGATCCCAGAAATGAGAAAAATGTCAATTACTTAGTTTTGTAAAAGCTTACTGACTTTGGAAACACAATGAAGAACCTATTCCTTCCTGTAAGGAATGAGATAGACCTGCCAAGCGTGGACCGTGCCAACAGGAAGAGAGGTGTGCATGTCTGTTGAAGCACCTTGCAGGATTTGCCTGCAGGCTATTCTTTACTGTCCAAATCAATAATATCTTTTTAAAAATTATGTCGGTTATTAGAAGAGGCTCCAACTACTTTACATTTTACTCAACACTAGTTTCCCTAGGGCTTCATGAAATAGGAAAAAGGTTAGAGCTAAGATTAGAATTTCCTTATTTTAAATATAAAGACACTGGAGCACAGACAAGTAAACCCTTATGCAAGGTTGTGGGTAAAACAATGACAAATCTGGGTCTCGTTTTCTTGTTCTTAGGCTAAAGCTATTTCCACTAAGGTTTAGGTTACTGGAGAACTATAGATCTCAGATTATAGGTAAAAAGATTATTTGTCATAATAGTTTCACTAAAATTTTCCCTCAAATCTTACTTTAGTCAAATTGGGAACATGTTTGTTGGTGTATTTAATCTATTATTTTAATAATGCATTAGAGAAAAGTAAGCTGATGATATTATACATAAATAGGATTTAGTAGTTACCATCTATTTTTGTCATAAACATGCAAATTGATTGTACCCTGCCACGCCCACCAGCCACGCCCACCAGCCAATCAGAAGTGAGTATGCAAATTGACCAAACCAAGATGGCTGTGACCACAGAGCAAGTAGGAGGCTTGGGTTTCCCCAGCAACAGAAGAAGCCAAGCTTCCTGCCCACTCTGGCCTGCCCTGGCCTCTGCTCAAAGCTACAATGTTTCAATTATAAAAGATAAATAAATCCCAGATACCAGGGCCTCCACTTGGGTCACTGGGGTCGTGGCCATCCTGCAAACCACCACAGGCCCCTAGCCTAGGTCACTCCATGCCCCAAAGAAACCCCCACTCTGATCCGGGACTCACTTCAGGGCAAACCAGCCAGCTCCCACCCATGCACCAGGCCTCTATCCTATCTAATAAAAGAGCAATATGCAAATTGACTATCACTCCAACACACAAGATGGCTGCCCCCATATTGACACAAGATGGCCACCATATGATAGCCAGCAGGAGAGGGCAATTGGGGGTGATCAGGCCTGCACGGATGGGCAGTTAGAGGTGACCAGGCTGGCTAAGTTGGGCAGTTAGGGGCAATCAGGCTAGAAGGAGAGCAGTTAGAAATCAATCAGGCTGGCAGGGGAGTGGTTAGGGGGTGATCAGGCTGGCAGGCAGAAGTGGTTAGGGGCAATCAGGAAGGCAGGCAGGCGAGTAGTTGGGAGCCAGCCGTCCCGGATTGTGAGAAGGATGTCTGACTGCCTGTTTAGGTTCAATCCTACTGGGATTGGGCCTAAACAAGCAGTCAGAGATCCCTTAAGGGGACCCAGATTGGAGAGGGTGCAGGCTGGGCTGAGGGACATACCCTCCCATGCACAAATTTTGTGCACCGGGCCTCTAGTAGTTTCTATATAAACTTAAAAAATATAGTTAGCTATATTCTAGATAGGAAACTTATTTTTGCAGTGAATATCCGTATATATATAAAAGTATAATATGCAAAGTGTCCCCTCAGGAGTTGGATCACTTGCTGTGATGTGTGTTGACCACCAGGGGATGGCATGGAACAAAGGAAGGCCCCGGCCAGCAGCCAGCAGCCAGAGAAGGGAGGCCCTGGCTGGCAGCTGGAAGAAAGGCCTTGGCTGGCAGTCGGAAGGCCTCCATTGGCCCTGATTGCTGGTCTGGCTTAGGGACCCTACTTGTGCATAAATTTCATGCACCAGGCCTCTATTTATTTTTATATTTTCTATGTATCTGTGTAATATGCATGTAATGCAACAAAATACATAGTTTTAGTTTTATTTTACTTGATTAAAATTGCATTCTTGGGGTGATATTGGTTCACAAAACTGTAAAGGTTTCAAGTTCAAACTCAATAAAACATCATCTGTACACTGTCATGTACCCATTGCCCCAAGCAAAGTGACTTTATGTCACCATTGCCCACATCCACCTACCTCCACCCCCCTTTCCCTCTGGCTCTCACCACACTGTTGCCTGTGTCTATGGAAATACATGGCTTTCTATCAAGTTGATGAACCATAACTTATTTACAATTTTCCTAATTGATTTACTTCTAATTTTTACTTTTGCAGAATATTGTGACATATTAAAAAAAAGGCAAGTAATACTTAATGGGTACTGTGTACCAGGGACTATGAGAAGTAATTTATGCACATATTTAATTTTTATTATAACTCCATGACAAAACCAAAAGTAATTAGATCAGTGCTACACTGCTAGTGAATTCCAGATGCAAGCTAGGTTAATTATCATCTCTCACCTCTCCTGTGCTATATCTCTTTCAAAAGTACTGTGACTTTGAAGGTTCATTTCTAAATTGGTGTGGGCTTGAATTACTCTTATTGATAATTTTGTTGCAAAGTTATTGAAAGGAGTAAAAACAACAAATTTCTCATTTTGAGAGTAATTTTGTACTTGTCAATGTGAGAGTAGCATTCTCACTGGCTAGTCAATTTTTTTCTAGAAAAAACATTCCTGTTTTTTTAGGCAATGAGGTTACCCCATCAAACATAGTTTCCTTAAAATTACTTTTTTTTTTTTTTTTCAAAGAGAAAGAACCAGGGAAATTCAAGAGAGATGGATAACCATCTTCTTCCAGCAGAGGAGAAGAAAAGCTTTGAAAAGTGCTGCCCTTTGAGTTTTCCATTAGTTTATAATTAGTTCAGGGGGTCTAGCCCCCT